ATACCAATTAAACATATTTATAAAAGTGGAACGAGTTCTCGTTACAATTCTTTTTTTTTTGTTGGCCATTCTAAAAAAAGAAAAATCTTTTTTCATTAAGATAATTAGAAGTTAGAATTTTAAATATAAAATATAAGGAAATCCGAATATGGAACGTAAAACACGTATACGTCGAAGTACTTGTTCCTTAAATTTTGGTCGAAATCAAGTGGTCATATATGAAAAATGTGTCAAATACCCTAGAAAATTCTGACCAATTAAGAAGTGCAAAACAAGGAATGGAAAAGGGACTTCGTTCAGTAGGAGAATATTTTGTGTTACCCAAGAATTCTTAATGTTTTCTATAAAAAGACAATTAAGAAATTTTTTTTTAAAAAAAAAATTAGATAACAATTATTAATCTTTTCTAATAATTATGTGAAGACGATACATTCTGAAAATTTTCAGTCATTAAACACAACAAAATAGTTAGTCATTTAGTTAGTGGTTGGAGTGGAGAAAAACAAAAAAAAAAGAAAAAAATTAAAATTTTAATCATTTTAATTAAAAACTTGAAATGATTAACATCGTTTAAGATGCCATTGAACATAAAATTCTTTTAAAGTAAAACACGAACATAAATTAGAGGCATATTAGTACATAGCAACTTGGAATAGAGAGGCGATAGTAATCAATAAAACAAAAAAGGGGGAAAAAAAAACAATTACATGACTGTATAATTCTCCTTAACATGCGACGCAAAGTCTCATTTTCTGTATGAGAAAATAGCGCAAATCGTTTCATGTCCAGAGTAACCACATTAAATAGTCGTTTCCGTAGAAGATGTAACGATATTAAGAATAGACGACATGCCGTTTTCCAGGAAAAAGCAAACCACAGTAGGCCAATAGTACATCTGGGATTCGTTTAGCAGTTCTGATGCAGTCATTAACTAACCATACATAACAGAAATACGTATATCTTCTCTCTCTCTCTCTCTCTCTCTATATATATATATATATATATATTCCACACCTAAATGAGACCTCTGTTCACAAACCATTTCTAAGTTTTCTCTCTCAAGAAATTAGAAAGAAAAAGAAGAAAGGAGAAAGGAAGAAAAATATTCACTGTCAAGTTTTTCTAGAAACAAAGAAAAGAAGAAAACCAAAAGTTTGGTGGTCTTTACGATCTGAGAATATTGGAGATGGAGAAGAAAGATATTCAGAGGATGGAGCGTGAAATTCTCACCATGATTTCAACGCTTAAAAGTCTCAACCTAACTACCCGAAACAAGATCAATGAACTGATCCGCAGCGGCAGAGGATTATCCGAAATGAATTCGCTAACATTTGGAGCTGAGGAACTAAGGAATGCTCAAGAAGATTTTGATGGTCTCAAGATTTTTCCCAAGACTGAAGAGCAATTGGAGAATTTGAGATCGGTGATCGAAGAGACAATGAAAGAAGCACGGGATTTAGACAAGCTTGTCAATGAGTTTGAAGAGAAGTTTCTCAAGTACAATGTTCCAAGACTCCATGAATCTGAATCTTTGGAGGATTATGCAGAAAGTTTGAGGGGCTTTATGAAGATATGGCAAGAAGAAGCTAAGAAAGGCAGAGAAAAAGGAGAGAAAAGCTTGATAGAGTGGCTGCAGCAGCTTGATCGATTCGCTGATGAAGAAAGGAAGGCAACTTTTGAAGAGATGAAGGCTGTGGCAATTGATCTTGGGACAAAAATCTCTCACTGTCTTTCCGAAGCATTCTTGTTAATGTCGCTCTCGTCAAATGAAGAGGAAATCAAACAGAATCTTGACTACTTCTCCGATATACTCGAATGCCTAAGTGTAGAAGGGAATTCCAATATCATCAACACGTTCGTGTATGTAATGGATTTTGCAGAAAGAGCAATGAGGTTGAGAGAACTACAACGTTCCGGAATGGATCATGTCAGGTCTAGATTGAAGGAAAAGGGTATCTTTCATCTAATCATTCGGGAAGTTTTGCGTCTCGAGGTCGCGTTTTCTTGTCCAGATTTGCCAATGATGTTGACAAATGAAGTATTTCTTGCCATGGGAAGTCATCTAAGAGAGGTGTTTGAGAAGAAACTGATCAGAATAGGCTTAATCGTGGATGAGCTGAAGAAGGAAACACGATTATATTTCCGTGATGAAGAAGTAAAGAAAGTGAGTTTTTTGCTTGAAACAATGGATTTGGGGGTCAAAGCAATATGGAGCAGATTAGAGCTGAAGCCGGAAGCTGATGATCAATCAGATAATTGATATGGATTTTAGTAGTTCAACAAGGTAGACACGGTATTAAAAGTACATGTTGATTTTGCAGTAATCAGAACAAAAGCTTGTTCCAACAAAAGTATTATAGTTTCAATGATATTACTAGTGCTTGAATAATATTAACGTTTCATTGATATTACTTGTATTTAAATAATATTAATGTTTTGCCGATATTAGTATATATAGTTTCGTCCTTTTCATGTCTGAAGTACTAACTAGTGTTTGAATGATCACTGTTATACAACAAAAAATTGCGTCACTGTTAATATCAGCGATCATGTGTGAAAACTGGAAATTCAACGCATGGTGTTGAAAACCATTTTTTAAAGGATATTTGTTACGGAAATGAATGCACTTGAAAGTCATATTTATAGATAATTACAATGACCTGATTGAAAGTCACCAGCTTATGAGCTACATATATAATCCAAACATGTTTTTAAAAGTCACAATCAATCACTCTCTCTTCTACCACATGATGCCCTTGATTAAGTACAGCGCACTATTAGTTACTAGATATATATATATATATATATGTATATATATGTATGTATATGTATGTATGTATACATATATATACTGCAGTACTCATATCCTCTATCCTTTGAGATAGCTTATATCCTATATGACTATTGGTTAATCTGTCACAGGGGAAAACATCAAATTTGGTTATTCTGTTGTTCAATAAAAAAATTGATTAAAGAATTTAGTACCCAAAATCAAAGTGGTTTTTCTTAAATATCTTGTATCTTCTGTGGTATTAGATCAACCTATTTGAAGATTCAGTTTACTATAGTTAGAATATCAAGAGTTAACAAGGCAACAATTCTTATTAAAAGCTCATTATTCTGTCCTGGCAGAGGTAACAAAATACTGTGTTTAAGGAAAATAGCAGACAATAAGGAAATCAAATCAAATGTACGGCTTGTGACTTATTGTTCAGAACGATCAATACAATGAAATGTAACCATGATTTTGGACCTCCCATGGCTTGAAACACATCATTTGTCAGCATCATAGGCAAGTCCAGGAAACAAAACCCAACCTCAAGACGCGAAACTTCTCTTATCATTGGATAAAGGATATCCCTTTCAATCCATTTACGGTTACCAGATCCGTACTCAAATATTGTACATGATTTCTAGCCACAATTAATCGATCTACATATCTCACCGCAGATATATAGGGATCGATGACAATGGAATTCTCTTCCACACAAGCATGAGTATCGTCGCCAAATCATCAAGAGTTCGCCTAATTTCTTCAGTTGTTGCTGAGAACGACATCAGCAAGAAAGTCAGAGCAAGATGTTCAACCACCACAAGCCTCATCACTTTAAAAGTAGTCTTTCTTTCCTGATTTTCTGATTGATCAAGCAACCGCAGCCACTCTATCAAATTTTTCTCACCATTTTTTCTGCCCATCTCACCTTCTTCTTTCCATATATTCATAAACCCCTTCAAACTTTCCGCATAATTCTTCGAAGATTCATATTCATGGAGTCTTAGAACATCGCACTTAAGAAACTCCATGATTGTTTCTTGTTTGCTTTCTTCTTTCTCCATAATTTGGTATTTAGTTGCCACTTTTAAGCTCTGAAAACATGGTGAGAATTCCGCGTTCCATTCTTTGAATCTTCTCCATCTCGAAGATTCTCAGAACATAAAGACTTGAGATTCCAAGCGTTGGTTTCGTCAGTTCTTTGTTTTGTTGAAAAATTAACTTGAAAGTGAGTATTTTCTTCCTTTCTCCTTTTTCTTTCTTCTTTTTCTTTCTAATTTATTGGGCGAGAAGACTCAGAAACCACTTATGAACAAAGCTCTCATTTCGAAGTTGAAAACGAAGAGAGAGAAAAGAGGTAGGTATTTCTGTTATATATGGTTAGTTATACTATATTGCCTATAAAAAACTCCATGTGGTCTATTATTAATGTCGTTTCATCTTCTAGGGATACGAAAACGATGTGCTGTATTTTCTTATCGAGAAAATGAAACGTTATGTCGTTTATTTCTAAGGAGAACGACAGAGTCTTGTGTGTATATATTTGCCCCCTTTAATTTGAACATCAAACCTAAAAACAAGCTGAAACGACATTAGGACACGGAAATCAATTATATTATTATAATTGATAATAACAAATCGCTTCTATTTCGGACTCGGAAATCAATTATATTATTATAATTGATAATAACAAATCGCTTCTATTTAGGACTCGGAAATCAATTATATTATTATAAATAGGGTTCAGCCCCCATTATTTCCATCCTGTTCAAGTCATTGTATATGTACTGATCAATTCATCCAATTCCCTAAACTTCCCAAAAACTTCAACGTGAATTACCGATTAATATCGTGGGGTTTCCTGTAGATTTACGATCTCGCAAATAAGGTATGCTTTCTCTCTCTCTCTCTCTCTCCATCTCTCTCTCTCTCTATCTCTCCCGTCTCTTTCTGTCTAAGAATGTCGAGTTTAACATGATTTCAGTGGTGTAATATTTTCTTTTCCCCTCTTGAATTAATCCCGCTGGATTGAGTTCAATTATTCAAAGAAAGATATATCATATTATTTGCTTTCGTAAAACACTAGCGAGTCTAGATTAGCGAGTTTTGAATTTGAGCTTTCCATATTTTCATCAATGTTCGTGGATGATTTTGATACATCAAATATTTTATCTCTATTTTTTTTAAATATAAATATGTGAAATCTAAACTTTTATTGAAGCAGAATATGGCTAGGTTTTCCGATTTGCCGGAAGAGATACTGGTGGAAATTTGGTCATGGCTACCTCCGGAGTCTCTAGTACAGTTTAAATGTGTTAAGAAATCATGGTATCCTCTCATAACTGCTCTCATTAAGAACCCCGCATTCGTGGCCAAGCATCTCTGCAACAGCAAGTTTATGACGCCGTCTTTAATTTACAACTGCGGCAATAGTGAGTTTATATCGTCATCTTTGCTTTACAAATACAACGATGAGAGTAACTACCGAGTAGGACATGCAGGGTTTCTCACTATCTGTAACAACGGAGGCAATGGTGAATACCTTAGTTGTGGTATTGAAGATTTCAAGGCACAACTTGTTAAGCACATTGAAAATTTTTGCTTCGTTGGTTCTAGTTGTAATGGCGTCGTTTGCTTAGTTGATTATTCACAAGGCAATATTCTACTATGCAACCCAGCAATTAGGGAATTCAAGATTCTCCCGGATCCATGCCTTTATCATATGAAATATCGCCCATTAATTAGGGTTGGATTTGGCTATGATCCTATTACTAATGCTTACAAAGTCGTTAGGGTTTTTGGATGGATTGATGGGTTTACAGCTCAAGTATATACTTTGGGAAATAATTCTTGGAGAGACATCGATTATTTGCAGACGAAAACTAGACATCAATCCATTCGTCGGACCATCAAAGCGGTGTATAGCAAAGGAGTCTATTATTGGTTGCTCAGAGCTTCTAACTACGAAGAAATAGTACACTCATTTGATATGCATGATGAGAAATTTCATATCATACCACTACCAGATAACTGCCAAGAAAGTGAATTCATCTCAAATTACAATACAAACCTTACCCAGTGGAATGAATCGGTCGTTTTGTTCTGCTATCCAAAGATCGAACGGCTTATAACGAAACCTATTGAAATGTGGGTGATGCGTGATTCATCTGTGGACCGCCCTTGTTGGACCAAACATCGATCGATCGATCCACTAGGAGGTATTCACAAGACTCCGATAGCATTTTGGAAGAGTGATGAGCTCCTTTTGAGAGAAGATAAGAAACGCCTCGTCTCCTACAACCTACTCACAGGGAAGTTTAAGAGCATTCATGAAGAGGATCAGATAACATCTTTTTATGCTTTTCCTCATGTGAAGAGTTTAGTTTCAGTCAACATATCAGAAACACTGCCGACTCAACCCCTAGGGAGTTTAGGTAATTGCCTAAGGCCCCCAATTTCGATTCAGCCCCCATTTTTTGGATGTTGGAAATATAAATATTAATAGCCTAATTTTTATGCATTATTAGATTGAAAAATTAAAAGAAAAATCATTTTCTCTTTGTTATACTAAGAAATCCTATAATTATGCATTTAAACCTTGATGTGTCGAGATACTTCCTGTTTAATTGAAGTATGTATCTTTTAAAATATTATGAAGAGCTGGTAAGGCAACTTTTGTTATTAAAACTCATTATTCTGGCCTGGTAAAGGTGAAGAAACAACTTTTTCCGAACAATTAGGATATGAAAAGGATCATGTATTTAAACTTTCTGTGGTTAAGGGAATCATAAAATCAAGAAAAAAAAATCAAATGTACCAATTATTGCAAGTACTATTACTATATTCAGAATAATACATACAATGAAATGTGAGTAAACATATTGGACCTTTTAATCTGCAAAACATAAGTACTAATTACCAATGAAGAGTACTAAACCGAAAGCAAAAGCTAGAATCATACAAAGATACAAAATGGAACAAAATCCAAACCCACCCTAACAGAGACAAAAAACCATTAAAATCATGTCAACCTTGTTCAACAGATCTTTTTCACAGAAACTTACTACTGAAATCATGTCAATTCGAATCAGCTCTGAGCGGCAGACCCAGTTCCTTCCACGTCAATCTGACCACGGCTTCCAAAAATTTCTTATCAGCGTTCAGTGTCTCCCTATCTTCAATTCGCAAATGTAGAGACAATTGCGTTGTCAGCTTATCCAAATTCAAACAAATTCTTTTCAGGTTCTTATCAAACACCTTTACGAGATGACATCCCATGGACAGAAATACCTCATCTGTCAACATCATAGGCAAGTCCGGGCAACAAAACGCAACCTCGAGACGCAAAACTTCTCTTATGATCGGATAAAGTATATCCCTTTCAATCAATTTACGGTTCATTCCATACGCGCTCAAGTATTGTAAAGGATTTTTAGCCACAATTACTATATCCACATCTTTCAAGACAGACATAAAATTGTTGATGACAATGGAATCCTCTTCCACAGTTAAGCATCCGAGTATCGTCACGAAATCATCAAGATGTCACCTAATAATTTCTTCCGTTGTTTCCGGGTATGACATCAGCAAGAAAGTTAGAACAAGAAGGTCAGAGATGTGAACTCCAAAATAATATGCCACATGCCTCATCGCTTTAAAAGCTTCTTGATTTTTGGATTGATCAATCAACTGCAGCAACTCTATCAAGCTTTTCCTTCCTTTTTCTCTGCCTTTCTTAGCTTCTTCTTTCCATATCTTCATAAACTCTTTCAAACTTTCTGCATATTCTTTCCAAGATTCAGATTCATGGAGTCTTGGAACATTGTACTTGAGAAACTTCTCTTCATACTCATTGACGCGCTTGTCTAAATCCCGTGCTTCTTTCGTTATCTCTTCGATCTTCGATTTCAAATCCTCCGATTCCTCTTCAGTCTTGGGGAAAGTCTTGAGACCATCAAAATCATCTTGAGCTTTCCTTAGTTCTTCAGCTTCAGTCAGAATAGCTCTTATTGCATCTATTTCGGATGATCCCGTGCCGCTGCAGATCAGTTCATTGATCTTGTTTCGGGTAGTTAGGTTGAGGCTTTTAAGCGCTGAAATCATGGTGAGAATTTCACGTTCCATACTCTGAAGATCATTAGTCTCCATCTCTATGATTCTCAGAACATAAACAACACTTAACTTGAGATTCCAAGCCTTGGTTAATTTTCTTCTTTTCTTTGTTTGTTGAAAAACTTGAAAGTGAATATTTTTCTTCCGTTCTACTATCTCCTTTTTCTTTCTAATTTCTTGAGAGAGAAGACTTAGAAATGGTTTGTGAACAAAGTTCTCATTTAGGTGTTGAATATAAAGAGAGAGAAGAGTAGGTATTTCTGTTATATATGATTTGAGTTTTTTTGGAAAACTTCTTCATGTCGTCTGTTCTTAATGTCGTTTCCTCTTATAGGGAAAAGACTACTTAATGTGGTTCATTTAAACATGAAACGATGTGCCGTATATTCTGTTTTGTCATTAATTGTTAAGGAGAACGACACTGTCTTATTAGACAATTGGTACATATATTAATTAGAGCCAATTGGTACATATATTAATTAGAGCCAAACATTACTTGATATACATACTATAATACACATCCCTAAATGACTGTTGGTTAATCTATATGACACATCAATTTTGGTTATTTCGTTGTTCAATAAAAAATTGATTAGAGAATTTAACACCCGAAATCTAGGTGGTTAATTATTTTTAAAAATCATTTTATCTTTTGTGTTATTAGACAACGTATTTGAAGATTCAGAGAATTATGGTTACAACATTAAAAGTTAGGATATGAAAAGGATGTATCTAAACTTTCTGTGGTTAAGGCAATAAGAAAATAATGTACCGATTGTGACTATTATTACTCAGAATGAATACAATAAAATGTAAGTCACGATTTTGGACTTTCTAATCTGCAGAAACTCTGGTAACTTCTTGCCAATGAGAGTTAGCATCAAACAGAAAACAAAAACTACAATCGTAAAATCGCAATACTTTTTTCTTCCCCCTATCTTCTCTATAAAACTATCAAAATTCAAATCAATCTTGTACAACAAATCTTTAGCAGAATCTTGCTACTGAAAATCATGTCAATGCGAATCAGCTTGGGGCTTCAGATCCAGTTTCTTCCACGTCACTCTGATCTTGGAATCCAAGAATTGCTTATCAGCATTCACGTTCCCCTCATTTTCAATTCGCATTGACCGAGAAGCTTCCGTCGCCAGCCTATTCAACTTCAAACCAATTCTATTCAGATTCTTATCAAATACCCTTCTGAGATGATCTCCCATGGCTAGAAATACATCTTTTGTCAACATCATAGGCAAGTCCGGGCAACAAAACGCAACTTCGAGACGCAAAACTTCTCTTATGATCGGATAAAGTATATCCCTTTCAATCAATTTATGGTTCACTCGATTCAAATGTTGTATATCATTTCTAGCCACAATTAATTGATCCACATCTTTCAAGATAGATATAAAAGTGTTGGTTATAATGGAATTCTCTTCAACACATAAGCATCCGAGTATCGTCGCGAATTCATCAAGATATCGCCTAATTTCCTCCATTGTAATTGATGCCGACATCAGCAGGAAAGGTAGAGCAAGATGGTCAGAGATTTGAATCCCAAGATCAACTACCACAAGCCTCATAGCTTTAAAAGTAGTCTTTCTTTCTTGATTTTCGGATTGATCAAGCAACCGCAGCCACTCTATCAAGCTTTTCTCTCCTTTTTCTCTGCCTTTCTTAGCTTCTTCTTTCCATATCTTCATAAACTCTTTCAAACTTTCTGCATATTCCTTCCAAGATTCCGATTCATGGAGTCTTGGAACATTGTACTTTAGAAACTTCTCTTCAAACTCATCGACACGCTTCTCTAAATCCCGTGCTTCGGTCTTAAGCTCTTTGATCTTCGCCTTCAAATCCTCGGATTCCTCTTCGCTCTCTGGGAAATTCCTGAGACCATCAAAATATTCTTGAGCTTTCCTTAGTTTGTCAGCTTCAATCAGAATAGCCCTTACTGCCTCTTTTTCGGATGATTCCGTGTTGCTGCAGATCAGTTTATTAACCTTGTGTCCGGTCACTAGGTTGAGACTTCTAAGCTCTGAAATCATGGTGAGAATTTCACCTTCCGTTCTCTGAAGATCATTATTCTCCATCTCCATGATTATCAGATCATAAACAACCCTTAAGTAGTTGAGATTCCAAGCCTTGGTTTTTTCTTTTCTTTGTTGAAAAACTTGAAAGTGAATATTTTTCCTCCTTTTTCCTTTCTTTCTTCTCTTCTTTCTAATTTCTTGAGAGAGAAGACCTATATATGGTTTGAATATAAAGAGAGAGAAAAGAGGTAGGTATTTTCTGTTATATATGGTTAGTTAATGACTGTTTAAGGACTGCTAAATGTACCAGAGTATACTATTGACTGTAATATAGTTTGAGTTTTCTTGAAAAACGTCAAGTCGTCTAAGGAAAAGACTATTTCTTTTGGTTCATTTAAACATGAAACGATATGCCGTATTTTCTCATAGAGAAAATGAACCGCTGTGTCGTTAATTGTTATGGAGAACGACGCTGTCGTTTTTTTTTTTTTTTTTTTTTTTTAAACCCTCTTTTTTTTTTTTTTTTTTTTTTTTTTTTTTTTTTTTTTTTTCGTTAATTGTTATGGGGAACCCCGCTGTCGTTTTTTTTTTTTTTTTTTTTTTAAACACTCTCTGTTATTTATTTATTTTTCTTTTCTTCTGTTTTCTAGTTTAGATTCGTCTCTCTCATATGCCATGTTTCTATGTACTAATGTCGCTTGTAATTTATTTATATTTTTTTACCCTAAAAATATTTATTTACCTTTTCTTAATAACTAGAGTATTTCACATTCTGCTATCATCTAAACATTCATACAAAATATTAAGTCCCTTTTTCTTTGTTTGCTTTTTTCCAGGTTGTGCATAATTTTTCAGGGTATTTGATATATTTGGAACGTATTTTCCATTATCTCACTTTCTATTTAAATAAAAATATATCATATTAGTAAAAACTACATATCAAATATTAAATACAAAAAGTAATAAAAAATAACATAAAAAGTGACGCTGCAATTTTTCAATTTACTAAACCGCACTATTTCACTCATTCTCCTTACTTCTTACTGTGTTGGGCCCGTGTCAGCCCATTAGGCTCGGCCCGTCTTGCAAAGATCACAAATATATACATTAAAAACCACAAAACGTCTTACAAAATCTAAAACACTAAATTGAACACACAAAAGTACAAGTAAAATTTTGGTCAAAATACAAAACTTAAATGATATCATTGTGATATATTTTGTAATAGTTTTAGCACCCATGACAAAAGTCAATCCAGCCTTAAAAACTATGGCATGTTGTCTTAATATATCCTTTTTCTTAGTACCCCTGCAATTTTCTCTAGGAAAATTATAGTAAATAGCCTATTTTTGAAACCAAATTA